TAAAATATAAAAAATAATTAAAAATGAACGATTAAAATAGAGAAAGAATGCAATGATACATTTTGTAAGACATGTTTAAGCTAAATAAAAAATCAAGCATCTACACACACACACACACACAGAGATGATAGGAAGTGCAAAGATTAGATGTGCTTATTTTTTTCAAAAAAAATAACTCTAAAATGAAGTAAAAATAAAGGAAAAAGGATTAAAAATATTAAAGAATGAAAAAGATGACTTTAATTTAAAAATCAAGTTTAAACAAAACATATAGATTAAAAAATATGCTTATATTAAAAAAATTGCCTTAAAATATGAAAAAATGCAAAACAATAACCAATTGTTGAAAACATATTTAAGGTAAATAAAAAATAAAGTTTAGCCAAAAAAATATACAAAGATAAAAGTAAATGCAAAGACTACAAGATGTGCTTATATTCTTAAAAGAATAACTTCAAAAAAAAAAAGAAAAAAAACAACACAAAAAGGGATGACATTCATTTAAAAATTGAAAAAAATATATAAAAAAAAAGTAAAGCATTAAGCACTTTGAGGACTATTTAAACAAAATAAAAAATAAATTTAAACAAAAAATATAGATAAATAATAGAAAGTGAAAAGATTAAAAATATGCAAGCATTAAAAAAATTAGAATGTATAAAAAATAATTAACAAAATGAACGATTAAAAAGGAGAAAAATGTAATGAGTTTATAGAAAATACTTCTATTATTTGAAAATATGATGCATTTTGTAAGAATATATAAAATTTACATTCATCATAAATGATGAATTTCATTTAAAATTTGAGAAATATATCAATCAAAATATAAAGCAATAAAAAAAATTTTTGAAGACATATTTAAGCTAAATAAAAAATCAAGTATCAACAAAAAAGAAATATACAAAGATATTAGGAAGTGCAAAGATTAGAAGATGTGCTTAAATTTTTGAAGTCTTTTAAATTCAAGTAAAAATAAACAAAGAAAGGATGAAAACAAATTAAAGAGTTTATGTAAAAGATTACTATAACTTAAAAATTGAGAAATATTTTAAAAAAATTTAAAGCATTGAGCACCTGTTGAAAAAAAAATCAAATTTTAAAAAATATAGATAAATATTAGAAAGTGGAAAGATTAAAAAACCTTCAAAACTTAAAAAAATAAAAAAAACAACGATAAAAGAGAAATAATGCAGTGAGCTTAAAGAAAAAACTTCAAACGCTTGATATAATATGATAAATTTTGTAAGAATACCTAAGATTTACATTCATCATAAATGATGAATCTAAAAAATATCTTCAAAATGAAGTAAAAATCAACAAAAAAAAAACTGGATGAAAAAATTTAAAGAAAGTAAAGCACGACTTCAATTTAAAAATTTAGAAAGAAATCCAGAAAAATTTAAAGCATTGAGCACTAAGCACTATTTGAAGACATATTTAAGCATAAAAAATCAAGTTTAAAGAGAAAAAACAAATAAATAACAGGAAGTATAAAGATTAAAAAATAAGTTTATATTTAAAAAACTACTTTAAAATGTAAAATAAAAAATCAACAAAAAGAACCATAAAAAAGGAGAAAGAATGCAATGAGTTCAAAGAAAATACTCTAATTCTTGATAATATGATACATTTTATAACAATATATAAGTTAAACATTCTTAATAAATGATGAATTTTATTTAAAATTTGGGAAAGATATTAATAAAAATGCAAAGCAATAAACAATTATTGAAGACATGTTTAAACGAAATAAAAAATAAAGTTTTAAAAAATATACAAAGATAAAGTTAAGTGCAACGATTATAAGATCTGCTTATATTTTAAAAAAATAACTTTAAAATGATGTAAAAAATCAACAAAAAAAGTGGATAAAAAAATTTAATGAATGTAAAAGATGACTTTAATTTCAAAATTGAGAAAGATGTCAAGAAAAATTTAAAGCATTGAAAAAGTTTTGAAGAATTATATAAGATAAATAAAAAATCAAGTTTAAACAAAAAAATATAAATAAATAATAGGAAGTGAAAAGATTAAAAATACGGATTTATTAAAAAATTTAATATAAAAAATAAAATAAAAAAAGAATGATAAAAATAGAGAAAGAATGCAATGAATTTAAAGAAAATACTTCGAAATATGATACATATTGTAAGAATATATAAGATTAACATTCTCCATAAATGATGAATTTTATTTAAAATTTGAAAAAGATATCAATAAAAATGTGAAGCAATAAACATTTGTTGAAGAGATATTTAAGCTAAATAAAAAATCAAGTTTAAACAAAAAAAATTATACAAAGATAACAAGAAGTGCAAAGATTAGAAAATGTGCTTATAATTTTAAAAAGTAACTTTAAAATGAAGTAAAAATCAACAAAAAAATTTAAAGAATGTAAAAGATGACTTTAATTTAAAATTTGAGAAAAATATCAATAAAAGCGTAAAGCAATAAACATTTTTTTTAGGACATATTTAAGCTAAACAAAAATCAAGTATCAACATATATATATATATATATATATATATTATTACTATAATAGGAAGTGCAAAGATTAAAAGATGTGCTTGTATTTTTTTAAAAAAATATCTTTAAAATGAAGTAAAAATCAACAAAAATACTTCTATAAATTTTAAAGAATGTAAAAGATGGCTTTAATTTAAAATTGAGAAAGATATTAAAAAAAACTTAAAGCATTAAGCACCTTTTGAAGACATATTTAAGCTAGAAAAATCAAGTTTAAAAAAATGGATAACTAATAGGAAGTGTAAAGATTAAAAAACCTATAAAATGTAACAAAATTTAAAAAAAAAAACAGAGAAATAATGCAAGAGTTTAAAGAAAATACTTCAAATGCTTGATAATATGATACATTTTTTTAAGAATATATAAGACTAACATCCTTCATAAGTGATGAATTTTATTTACAATTTGAGATGGATATAAAAAAAATATAAAGCAATAAGCATTTTTGAAGACATATTTAAGCTAAATAAAAAATCAAGTGTAGCAAAATAAGTAAACAAAAACAATAGAAGTGTAAAGATTAGAAGTTGTGCTTATATTTTTAAAAATTAACTTTAAAATGAAGTACAAAAATCAACAAAAACATGGATAAAAAAATTTAAAGAATGTAAAAGATAACTTTAATTTAAAAATTGAGAAAAAAATTTAAAGAATGTAAAAGATAACTTTAATTTAAAAATTGAGAAAAATATCAACAAAAAGTTAAAGTGGACATATTTAAGCTAAATAAACAAAATAAAATATAAAAAATATAAAAAATAATAGTAAGTAAAAAGATTAAAAATATGATTATATTAAAAAAGAGGCTTTAAAATGTTAAAAAAAAATTTAAAATGTTAAAAAAAAATAAACCAAAAGAACAAAAAAAAAGCAGAAAGAATGCAATGAGTTTAAAAAAATACTTCAAATTCTTCATATATGATGTATTTTATTTAAAATTTCAGAAAGGCATCAATAAAAATGTAAAGCAATAAACGTTTTTTTCAAGACATATTTAAGCTAAATTAAAAATCAAGTATAAAAAAATATTATAATTGAAGTAAAAAAATCAACAAAAGGCTGGATGAAAAAAGAGAAAAAAAAATGTAATGAGTTATACATGGTGTGAGTGCATGATAATTTCATCAAGTTTCACATCAAAAATTTATGTTCTTAAAGAATATAAAAGATGACTTTAATTTAAAAATTGAGAAATATATCAAGAAAAATATAATAGATTAAGCACTTTTTGAGAACGTATTTAAGATGAATTAAAAAAATCAAATTTAAAAAAATATAGATAAATAATAAGAAGTGTAAAGATTAAAAAATGTGCTTATATTTAAAAAAAAAAGCTTTAAAATGTAAAAAATGAACAAAAAGAACGAGAAACAATGAGAAAAAATGCAATGAATTATATATGATGTGTATGTATGAATTGGCGTGTACATCAAAAATACATTTTTTTAAAAGACAATAAAAGATTACTTTTATTTAAAAATTGAGAGATATAAAAAAAAAATACGAAGCAATAATCACTTTTTGAAGATATATTTATGATAAATAAAAAATAAAGTTTAAACATAAAACATATATAAATAATAGGAAGAGTAAAGATTAAAAAAATGTGCTTAATCTAAAAAAGCTTTAAAATGTTAAACAAACAAAAAAAAGAACAAAAAGCACAAGGAAAAAATGAGAAAGAATGCAACGAGTTACACACACTAATTAATGTGCGCATGATTGTTTCTTCAAATCCCACATCAAAAATATATTTAAAAAAATACTGTAAATGTTTGAAAATATGATAAACTTTTAATGAATATTCTTCATGATTAACATTACTGTTAGATTGACGAAAGTGAATAATACAACATGACATGACACTACCATAAGATATGAATATTGATTCCGTAACACACAAGATGGATAGTTAACAGCCACTAAAAATATGATAAACCCACTCAGCAATCAACAAAGTAGCCATTGTTTTGAAACAATATATCATAAAATGTTAGAACACGAGCTTTCGAACACAAGAAACTGTTGGAATTAACGCAAGGCGTGCCTAACCGCTATTAGTTATAATCTAATATTGATATTGACTAGAAAAATGAGTAAGTGAAGTTATATCTACATTCACTCTCACACGGTTAATCTAAGATAAATATATGATACATTCACTTAACAATTAAATTGACAATATCAAATATGTGATGAAACTACTTTCTTCATTACAGAGGAGCCATCCTTTTGAAGGATTATATGGTATGACGTTACGCATCCACTAGTACTATTGGAGTTAAATCAACATCTATCTAACACCTCCAAAGTCCTTAGTGTATATCTTATATTTGCTACCACAATTTCCTCAATTCCATTTAATTAACACGTCTAATTCTAAAACAGAGTCTAATTCTAAAACAGAGATCAGCAGAAAATTTGAGAAATAATATCAACTATGGGTGTTGTGAGCGATAAACGAAAATTACCCTGATTCCAGCAGTGGCATCTTGACAAGCGACGCAACGTTTCGCCTCGATCTGCCTCTCGCCATCGCCACCTTTCGATGACAGTTTGTTGATTTCACCAATTCATGACCTAATTCCGTAATCAAACCAGAAAGGAAACTTAAATTTCTAGATTGAGGAAAATGACATGAGAAAAAACCAATAACAATAACCAACAGTATACCTTCGAGCCCTTGTAGCACTTGGAGGTGTTGAAGCGTCAACAGAAAGAGAGATACAGCGCTTCGTCTGCGACTATGAAAAACAACCTAATATCGCTCTATCCAGAAAAAGAACAAAGTTATAAGGCCTGAAATCATGTTCTGATTTCAAAAAACCCTTCTTCGATGCCTTCTGAGACTCTTCCTTGTGCTTTTCGACTGATCGATTCGATGCTATCTTCACCTCCTAAGCGAAGAAAGAAAGACAAGCGGGAAGGGCAAGAGAAACGGAACCAGTGAAGAGAAGAAAGTGAAGCCTTGGGAGTGAAGAAAATCAAGAGAATAGAGGGGAGAAAAGCGAGTCTCAAGAGTCGGCGGTGAAAATGGAGATGCGTATCTCATACGCTAGGTGACTGAAATTAAAAAAATTAATAAATTGATAAATTATTAATTAATTCTTTTGAAAACTATGGACTTAATTATCAATTTTGGGATTACATTTTTTTTAAATAATTCCTGGGGATTTCGTTTTTTAATCATCCCCATAGCCTAGATGATGGAGGATTGAGTTAATTGTGGGATTTAATTTCAACTATCCCACAACAAGATGATGTGATATTTTTTATTCAATTATTACTATAAAAATCATGACCTAGTAATGACAACGGGAAGAAGAGTGATGACTGAATTTAATGAGAAACAAAGTAACGGTCATTTTTTAACGTCGATTCAATAAATTAGACTTTACAATCCTGTAAAATAATTTATATTCATTTAACACTTTTTTAAAAATTAGGTCCCTGCTAGAGGTTTTAATGAAATTTCCCTGTCGTTTTCTAAGAAATAGTGTCACAAATACTAAAATGTCATTAACGACAAGATTAATCATTATGAAAAACTCATGATAAAAATAAATCATTATGAAAAACCTGTATTTTTATTTTTTTAAGAAAAAGTGTTCTAGGCATGCAGACTTTTCGAATCCACCGTAAAAAGTTGAAACTCTAACCATTCTGGTTTCAACATCTTGTTAGTTGTTCCATTCTTTATTAAAAAGAAGCAGGGGAGATGAAGAAGGGGGCAAAATAAATAAAAAACCAAGTCAATCATTTTAACTAGTGATGGACCTTAGACTCTAGACCAGCGGAGACAATCCTCAAATACATTTGAATTTAGTCCTAATGGGTCAAAAATTAAATATGACAAATCTAATATGTAATTTTTTTTTGAATTGCAGATTAAATATTATATACTTAATATGCAACTACTTGCCTATCAAGTATTCCTTCCGTTCACAAATATAAAATATTTTTAATTGAGTCTCACCCCCAATAAAGTAATTATCTACTTTTCAACTAATCCTATCTTTTCATATTCATCCCTATTAAACACCCTACAATAAATATAAAGGCATTATCAATAGGGATACTTTTAGAAAAAATACAATGATTACATCTTGAAGGATTAAAAATACCTTACATTTTTTAACATCTAACTCTTCAAAAAATGTCTTACATTTTTTAACAAAGAGAGTATCAAATATTTAATTTAAAAAAACTAGTAAATAATGCAGATCAACTCTCATATTTATTGATTATAAGAAAGTATCAGTAAATAATATGGATCTTGTTTTGCATTGTGATTTTTTAAAATTTTAATTTATCTCCTACATCTTACTCAAATCTAATATATCTCCATATCATCAATCATTAATCCCCTCATCAATGTACAAAAGATCATTCTCGTTTGAGACAAGGAAGACCGTCCAGGAATGTACAGTAGCAGCAGCAACAGCCGTAGCATCACTGAAAGCACATGAGTGACTGCACTGACTGGTTTTTAAAATACAACCAAGAATTTCACTCCATTACCTTAAAATGCAACCAAGAGTGGCCTCAAAATCCTGTCAAATATCAAATTCTAGTGCTTTATCAGCCCAGATATCATTGAAATGGACCAGCATATCACACGGTCAAGAAGGGGCAATATTCTAAACCAGCATGCGAAACCAGCATATTCAATTTGTTGAAGGTGAATGCAGGAATCTGATCATATTGAAAATATCAAAAAAGGACCAAAACTAATGAGACCACAAACTCTGTTCAGCATCTTATCTAGTGAACATAATGATCACAATTATGTCATTCACAAATCACAAGTACAAAGGGAAACATGGTCTCCTAAATAGTAAAATTTGAGAAAACAAGGCCAGGTGACCTCAAGAGTTAAGCTGTATTATCAGATTAAGAAGTTATACAATAAAAAATCAAAACACCTGCTCCTAGCTACCTAGTTTTATAGACAATACAAAGTGAGAGATCCTAAGTGCAAACACACACACACACATATTCATAAATAATGAGTACTCATACAGTTTCATATATATTGCATTCTTGAATCAATCACACATGGCTCCCGCACGCATATTGATAAATAATTAATGAGTGCTCATACAGTTTCATACATATTGCATTCTTAAATCGATCACGCATTACACACCCCCTAGAATGAAAATAGTGTTATCCCTTGCATGTACATATGTGTGTGTTTGTGTGTATAAGAATGAAATTGAGAGAAGTGATAACATGTACAAGAACCTTGAGCTAGCATAATCAAAGACCTTGCTCGTGGAAGAGAAGACGGTACCCAGAGGGCGATTTCAGCGTCGCAGAGAATTGAGAGTTCCTGTGCCTTCTTGAAGAGACCTTTCCTTCTCCTTGAGAATGTCACTTGTCCTGCTGTTACACTGTCTATTTTCTTTATCTGTATCTTCCTTCTCGTCATTTTCCCTCTTCTTCTCACAATTATCAGTAATACATGGTCATTATATACAGTAAAATTATACAGTCAAAAAGTACATTACATTATATATATGTATGTATGTATGTATGTATCTCATCAGAATCAACGTGGGGGAAACTGTATTTGAACTGATAAATAGAGAGGCTATTATATATACAGTAAAGTAAATCCAGTGGGTTTCACAACATGACGTAGAGGAAGATCTACAATAAGTTATTATTATTATTATTATTATTATTCTTCTTCTTCTTCTTCTTCTTCTTCTCAAAATCCAAGTTTCCCACCAAGAACCGACCGATCAAAGATGACAATCGGGAAAGAAGTGAGAAAATGATGCTTTTGTTGATAAACATGTAAACTAGAAAGATTAATGATCTTGGAAGGAGTAAAAAGAAATAATATGCTAGTGTATATCAGTGAGTTGGACACAAATGACTTGGTCCTGTTGATGTATCAGTCGCATGCCATAATAAACAACTTCATGTGAATGACAAATTTTCAATTTTTTTGTTCATTCAAAGATTACCGCTACAATAATTGGATTCTCTTAAGACTTTGGGTTTCGCTTCAACGCTTGAAAATTTGACAAACAGAGTTTTATTTCAATCTTCATGCTGATTTATCCAGTAGCTGTCTGGCATTTTCCTTGGTGACGCATCAAGGAGCGAACTTGGATATGGGGATGTGGGTCGGACTAGTTTGTTACCGGCCTTCCATGGAGAATTGGTGGTGCGATCGCTGTAGTTGGGTTTCGACAATATTCCGAACAACGGGGCCCACCCGTTCGAAGAAACTTGTTTCCAGTTGCTCGGTTCGGGTTTGTTGAGGACTGGATGGTGGACGGTCGTAAAGTCGTGAGAGAAGCTATCGCCATTGGAAAAGATGAAGGTTGTTTCACTTAAAGAACATAACCTTGCGAGAAGAGTTGGCTTCTCTCAATTTTTTTCCCTCGCCATTTCATATCCATTTTCCATTTCAATTATTGGATCAAATTTTAAATAATTAAGATTTAATAATTTTATAAAAATAATTTTTTAAAATTTTTATTACAATCATAAATATTGAATGATAGTTTAGATTAAATTTATTGTATTTTAAAATTATTTATTTTTTATAATTTAATATGTTAATATTAATTTTATAAAATATTAAAAATTAAACTTTGAGATAGGAAATGAAGGGAAAATAAAAAGGTCAAAAAAAAAATTAAGAGAAGCTATATATACAAAGATTCGACGTGCCCATGCTGCTGCTGTTCTTTCATCTGATGACTGATGTCATCTCTCCCAACGCACCCTTAGAAAACAAGTCCGCAAAGATTAGACATGACCTTCAGGGCCGTGGAAGCCATAAAGCAAGTAAGGCAATTGCCTTGGGCCTCCAAAAAAAATTATTAATATTCCTATCATATATATATATGTAATTGATATTTATATTATTATATATTTAATTGTTGATAAAATATAAAAAAAATATTGATTATTTTTTATTAAAAAGTTTTAATCATTCTCATTATAACATTAATTATTGAGCTGAGTTTATTATCTACATAAAAAAGAATAGTGAAATTTATAAGATACTAATTTACACTATATGGCTTGCTTTAAATTTCTCCCACAGTCTCACTTTTTATTTTCTCCTTTTCTTATTTTAAAGTCTAAGACATTGACAACTATTAGTATCAAGACCTTATGTAGTTTAAAACCATCAACATGATGCTTTTAAGCCTTATTAAAAATGTTGCTTATAATTTATATAATTATTATTAGTTTTTTACATTAATCATTGATATTATTAGTCTTAATTATATCTTTTTTGTTAAAAATGTATTGTCATCCCATATCATTGTTAATATTCTATTCTAATATATAAGATGAGCTATGAGTACTTTATCAATATTAATTTTTCATTTAACTATTAAATTAATTTAGTATTTTATTAGAATCACTATATTATAAAATTTTAATATATAATTTTGTAAAAAATGATGAGTGCATTTTTCTTAAGGAACAATTACACATATTAAGTTTTGTTAATAATTTTGCCTTAAGCCTCAAAACATCTTCACACGGCCCTGATAATCTTATTATACTGTCACAATCAAATTTGCAAAATGAACTTAGATACTGTTTGTAGATATGAAGCATATAAAGCTAATCAATATAATATTATTTATTGGGTTTGTACATATGTGCAACTCCCATAGAATTATGGATATTCACAGGATGAGACCAGACCAACACACCTGTCTCCCATTCCAAAAAAATGATCAAGATTGATTTTTTATCCAATCCCAAAAGTTATCTTGATAAAATAGACATAAGAGCGATGCTTGAATAAAAATATTTATTAAAATATTAAATTACATAACTTGCTAAATCTAAAATCAAGATAATATAATAATATATAAATTATAATAACTTAAAGTCAATTATTAAATGTTAAAAATTATTGTTATAAGTTTACAAATAAAACAACAACTAGGCATAAACTTGGATAGGGAGTACATGACCGTGGATGGAAAGTAATCCAACCTTATACATTGTGGAA